CAAATTGTATTGCATCTTGAATCATGGTAGGCCAATAATAACCTAACCTTTTTAATTGGCCTGCAACTTTTGGTCCGGCTTGATGAGCTCTACATGTGCCTGAATGGACTTCATATAATGCATTTCTTCCCTCTTCAATAGATAGACATCTTAACAAGATTCCATCAAAGGATCTTCTATATAAGGTGTCGCCGAAATAAGTGAAACATGGGGCCCGTCGACGTATATCGATTCTTTTCTTTTGGTCTGTAGCTAACCTCCCATATTGTAAATAATCAATAATGGGTTGTCTCCAATCTCTTTCTTCTTTGATTTGGTACACTGTGACCATGTTAACATTGACAGCTTCTAGTAACATACCCCTTAGATTTTGGTGGTTAACACAATTCCTTAGGATGCAGATAGCATCTAAGATGATAGTGGGCCAAAAATAGCCCAATTCTTCTAAATGTCCTACCATTTCAGGGACATTCTGATGTACATCACACTCTTCTGTGTGTATTTCGCGGAGAGCTTGTTGGACTTCATGGCACTTAAGTAGAATTCCTTTTATGGATTTTCTATATAAAATGCCATTTATATATCTGTAATGTTCAGCTTGGTGTAGCACATCAATACTCCTAGGATCTATCGGGATGAGCCTATATTGTAGATAATTGATTATGGGCATTCTCCAATCTGAAGCTTCTTCTTCCAACTGAATTGTGACAAAGTTCACAAACTCAGTTTCCCAAACTCTTTCATTTATGGGGGGTAGAACATGTCTCTCACCGACTATAATCTGAAGTTGTCTTTATTCAGGTAAACTAAGAGATGCAGCCACTTAGCTAAGGCATCAGCCTTATCATTTTCTGATCTTGGAATGTGGCTCACTTGTATGCTGCTGAATTGAGATATCAGCTCTCTAGCTTTGTTAAAGTAAAGGATTAAACTTAATTTTTTAACCCCATACAATTCATTTAACTGGTTAACCACCAATTGAGAATCTCCAAAGACTTGTAAATATTTAATATTCATTTCCTGAGTCATTTCTAAACCGATAATGACTGCTTCATACTCGGCTGTATTGTTTGAGCATAATGATGTGGGGGAGAATGTTGGTGGAGATGTAATTGACCTTTATTTTGAATTCTCCACCATCTTCTAGCTTTTTAATGATAATGTTGGGTTGCTCTTTCTTTTCCACAACCTTGTTGACCTTTTGGTTTGGAATTACAAGTCTCTTGAAAACAGAGTCTCGTTTCTTTTCATTTTTCTGTATATTCTTCAAACCTCCAAGTCGTTTGAACACAGAGACTTGTGGCTATATCTCCTCTTGGCTGAAAATAGCCTTTTCACGTTCTGTGAACATAGGGATTGCTGAGGTCGATTCTGCATCACTACATGTAGGATTACGGTAGTGACTCAATGGCTTGAACTTTTGGAGAACTAACCTTTTATTCTTTCTTCCATTTTTTGGGAGGGAAGTTGACACAATAAATTGAGTGTATGGGATGGATTGGCCAATCTTCCTAAGTGGACAAGTGTAACTTGTCATCAATGTCACCATTGTAGTCTCTTGCAATGAAGTAAGAGCCTTTTGCCCCAATTTCCTTTGGCTTTTTGGAATGTACCTAAAGGTAGCTTTAGGTTTTGAGTCAACTTGGGGGTTTTTCTTCCCTTTGACTTCCTGTTGCAATGATACAACAATCTTGGTTTTTGAAGTTGATGGTTCTTTGCATTCTTGAAGACTACTTTCAACATTCTCTTTAACTTCTTCCTTTGAAGAAGGGAAAAAATGAAAGTTAGCAGATTTATAAAATTTAGTATCCACATAATGTACTTCTCCTTGGAATGGATCTGTATCTGCAACCACTTTTTTTACCTCTCCATCTTTACTAAACTTAAAGCATTGATGAAGTGTTGATGGGACAACAACTCCGTATGTGTGTAACCATGGACGTCCTAAAAGGACATTATACGAAGTATCTGCATCAATAACATGAAACAAAGCATCAGAATATAGCTTCCCAATTTCAATCTTCAGAGCAATGGTACCCATTGCTTTTTGCCCCTCTTGATTAAACCCTTGAATGGTCAAACATGAAGGGGATAATTGGCGAGGTGTCATATCCATAACCAATAAAGTTTTCAAGGGTAGAAGGTTAACAACAGATCCACAATCTAGGAGAACTCTATTGATGGGAGTATTACCAATTATTCCTGATACATACAAAGGGCAGTTGTGATATTCCGTCCCAAGCTGTAAGCCTTCATCATCAAAAGATATGCATGCCATACATGAAGCACAAACCTTTGGGGACTCTGGTTGTACTTCAATTTGATTGACTTTATCTTTGAATTGTTAAGGATTAAGCAATGCTTGAATTAATGCCTTTCTCAATTCTGGAGAAAGCTGGAGAGCATTATAAACACTTAATAATGCAGGAATGCGCTTCAGATGAGAAAGAATGTCATATTTAATGCGCAATTTTGTTTCTCGCAATGCCTTCTAAACTTGAGGTCGGACCCTGATTAGATTCTCTAATCTATGGTCTTCTTCCTTGTCTTGTTGAACTTGTTGAGTCAACTTTGACTCCTCTCCTGGCTCTTCATTTTCTACTTTTGAGATAGAACCATCTATATTATTTTCTTTCTTGTGTTTTCGGCTATGTTGCAAGGTAATTTGATCCACCTCATTTTCATTAGTGGGTTCTTCATTTTCTTTGCATGCCACATAACATGGTGCTACTTCCAGTTCATCGTAACTTTCTCTCAAGATTTCTTTTGGGATGTACTCTTTCAGTGTGACTGAAAACCTTGGAGGTTGTTCATACTCTTCTTCAAAATCAACTTGAACTTTTTTCTTAAATCTCCTCTTATTTTTCTTCTTATTGTTCTTTGTGGAGGCTCTTCATCCCCAAAATTTAATGCCCGGAGAATTGGAGAGTGTAATTTGTATGGGCTTGACTGCCCCCTTTGCCTCCTTGACTACAGTTTGCCAATTTGTTTCATCCTCGGAAGAATCACTGAAGAACATCAGACTTGGTTCTTGCATCAATTCATATAATGAAGGGAGGGTAGGACCCTCTTCCTCTAATAGAGAAACATTATTTGCAGCCACAATAGTTTCTTTAGGAGGAGGTTCTGCAATTTCAATTTCTCCCCTATTTATCATTGATTGGATGATATCTTTGAGATGAAACAATCTTTGATGCTATGGCTGACCATCCTATGATGTCGACAATATTTTGGATCATTTGTCTTGATCACCTCAGATGGTCTCTTTGGCTCTGGTAACTCAATTGCCTTTGCTACTAAGAGGTCTTCAAAAATTCCTTCCACATTCTCATTATCAAATGTGTATTTCTTTTCCCTTCTTTCTTGCAGAGTCATAGGCTTAGGGACATCCTTTCCTTTAGCCTTATCCTTCTTTTTAATATTAACAAAGGTGGTCATGGCCTCTCCTTTGCCTATAGGCTTTTTGCCATCCTTTTTTACTTCTGAAGGAGGATTGGGCTTGCGTGCCACAGTCTTTTGCCTGGCAATTTGTCTTTCCACATTGCTGGCTTTAGAAACCAATGCATCAAATGATTGAGGTTCTGCTGTGCCTACAAAGGTAGCAATCTCTGGCAAGAGATTGTTAGCGCACATTTGTATTGTTGAGGTTTCCTTAACTGTTCAACACATTGAAGATTCATATTTCTCCATCATGTAATGAATTCATTTACACTTTCATTTGGCCTTTGTTTCATTTCAGCCAAGTTTGTAATTGATAATTTCCTCTTGGAGCTTACAAACTATGCTAAGAAAGCACATTGCATATCATCCCATGTGATGATTGATCCTGGTGCTAATTGTGTGTACCAGGTAAAAGCTGCTCCTTTTAAAGATTGCACAAATTGCCTTATTAATAAGGCATCAAACATTGCTAATTCACCACATTCAGAATAGAAATGGGCCAAATGTTCATGGGGAGACCCATTTATTCTATCAAACTTCTCAAAGTTGGGCTTTTGATATCCTGAAGAAAATGGGAGTGTATCATAATGGGTAGGATATGGTTTCCTGTAACCAAGGACAGGTGGTGTGAGAGATGTTTGGAATTCCTTTATTCCCTCTACAATAAGTGTCTTTAGGTCTATTTGAGGAGCAAGAGCAGAAGTTGATGCTTGTTGAGACGACTCTCTAGCAGATGTGCTTGCTTGAGCCGCCAATTGAGCAGCCAAAGATGCAATCTCTGCATCCTTTTCTGCCATCTTTCATTGCATCTCTTGAATTTGCTCTTCTAAACTTGAAGTACTAGTCACCATGACTGTCATAGGAGATGGCTCTTGGTCTTCTCCTAAGGACATAGCAATTCCTTGCAATTGTGAAGTAATTTCATCCATAGATTCATCTTCTTGAATTGAAGATTTATGATCTTCTTGGATTAGTTTAACTTTGGAAGTGACAGGTTCATTGGTCAAACTTGAACTTGATGCGTCTTCATAACTTTGCAATAATCGAGCTCTTGCTCTAGTGATAGGGCCTTTATAAGGCTTAAGTTCTTCATTGGGCATAGTATATGCCCCCAGTGCAAAGTAAAAATTTGCTTGTTTAGCAAGCATGTATCCAGTAATAAAAGCCCATTTTCTAGCTTCCATGTCTGATTTTGCTTTCTTTGATTTTTTTGCAGCAAAATCAGCAAGGGAAATGGGAGTGCTACTTTGTAGCTTTTTAGCTTTTGGAGGCCTCTTGGATCTAGGCTTACGAACAGGAATTGGGGATTGTTTTGAAGATCCTTCAATTCTAGTTGAAGGCTTCTGATTACAAATAATTTTTTTTTTCCACAAGAGGAAGAACCTTTACCGCTTGAATTTTTTTTTTGAAAAAGTTCCCATGTATAGATCACCAGACTAATGAAGACAACCAAGTACTCAATTGATACTCCGAGTCATTTCACTTAAATTTCAATATCCAAAATTTAAACCCTAATAAAAGGAGAAAAAGGAAAAAAAATGAGTAGCTGTTTCAGTCACCATACATTAGTAAATCTAAGCGATGAGTACGACGGCACCACCGGCCTCCTTGCTCTTCTTCTCTGCAATCTTGGGTATGAGCTTCGTCTTCACGACGATGGGCTGAGATGGAGGTAGGACACCCTTGCCCAACACCTTGAAGTAACCGAACTGGGTAACATCGACGAGGGGAACGTTATCGGCGGAGGCCTTATCCTTGACATCTTGAGGGATCATAGACCAGAGTTTGTCGATGTTGACGATGGGGCAATAGAACTTGTTGCAAAGCTTATGGAAGTAACGCATGCCCACTTTACCGAAGTAACTAGGATGATATTTGTCGAAGAGGATCTGGTGGTGATGCATGCCTCCGGCATTACCACGACCTCCCGGGTGCTTCCGGTGCTTCCCGATTCGGCTGTGCCCGGTGCTGACGTGCCCTCTCTTCTTCCTGTACTTCTTGAAGCAAGTCATCATTTCTCTCTCTCTCCAGAAGCCCCCTTGGTTTCTCTTCCCTTTAGAGTTGAGAATTGAGGAGAGGGAGCGGCGACCCTTTACCACTTGAATTTCCGAGTTTAATTACTCGGGGCTTCACTTGTGTAGATGAAGGAACATCTTCCTTTTCTCCTATAGCTTCATTGAAGGTTTGAAGAGTAGATTTCTCTTCAGAAATAGTCACCATCATGACTGATGTTGTAGGAGGAATCGAAAGATTCACTGGAATGGTTCCTATCATGATTTGGGTAGGGTAAATAACCTTAGCCTTTGCTTTAGTGGACTTCTTTGGGGAAGTCACCATTGATTTTGTGATATTCAAGATTGACGAAGCAATCCTTTTGGAGGAATTTGCCCTTGGTGGCTTGAAACCCTCCTTCCTGGCAGAGTTGAACATGGCTTGAACATGTAGACTTTTCCTCACAGGAGAGGTCTTAGTGACCTTCCTTTTTTTCTCTTTGATTTTTTTCTCCACCTTGGTGACAGAAGACATAGTAACAACAGCAAGAGGATTCACGTTCACAGTAAATGTTGCCTTGTAGGAAGGCTTCTTAGAGCCTTCTTTCTTTTCCTTCTCCGTAGCAGTCAGTTTGTCGTAGTAGACAACCACTTTAGGTGCCATGTCTGAGATATTTCTTCCTGTAAGTAAATAATATCGATATAAGACTTACACATTCTTTTTTTCCCTTTTGTTCTATACTCTAAGTCAGAGATGAAAAGGAAAATGGGTCCCACCAGGCATGCCAAAATTATGTTGGTGTGAAAATTTTAATAAATTTTCATGCAACATAATTCACTCAATCAAGTGATTGAGTTTTTATTATTTTGGGTAAGGCCCATTCAAGGAATCATACGGATTGTTCCCCTTAATTACATCCC